CGAGAGTCACATTTGAAAAGGAACCGCCCTCAATCCGTGAGGCTTCTGTGATTATTTTGAACGAATGTGCGCCGCGCTAAGGCGAGAGCCACATTTTGAAAACGACCCGCCCTCAATCCGTGAAGCTTTTGCAAATTTTTAGAACGAATGTGCGCCCCGCTAAGGCGAGAACCACATTTTGAAAACGACCCGACCTCAATTTTTAGAACGAGCGTGCGCCGCTAAGGCGAGAGCCACATCTTGAACACAACCCGCCCTCAATCCGTGAAACTCTTTCAGTTTTTAGCTTCAGAGTTCACAAATGGTGAGGAAGTGTCCGGCGAAACGCCTGGCCCGCCCTAACAATTGGTCTCGGGGTGCGACGAGGAGAAGTTATTTATAAGGAAAGAGAATGGAGGAGGAGGAGGAGGAGGAGGAGGAGGAGGAGGAGGAGGAGGAGGAGGAGGAGGAGGAGGAGGAGGAGGAGGAGGAGGAGGAGGAGGAGGAAGAGGGGGATAGTGACTGGGAGGGCGAGCGGGAGGAGCAGGGGGAGGAGGAGAAGGGGAGAAAGCAGCATGTCGTAGCACGGGCCTCCCAGGATGGACAACAGAGCTGATGGCGACGACGAGCCGAAGGAGGTTTCCAATGTGGTCAAGCGCATGACCATGGCCTCGAGCCCGCAGGGGTGCTTGCCTCCGTGGGAGTCAGAGCGAGTGAAGCGGAGGGTCAAGGAGAGGTGCGCGCGCTGCGAGGAGTGGAAGCGCAAGTTCAGGGATCAAAATGTGAGCTACTTTCGAGAGAGCGGCCACCTCCATCACGCGATCAAGAGGCTGCTCAATAGGTGCTCGGACTTCCTGACGGAGAAGCAGTACAGGCAGCTGGAGGCGTCCCTCCAGCTGGACGTCCGCTTCTTCTCCGAGCACAGCGGCGTGGACGCGGACTTCACCGACGAGTCTCCCAGGTTCCAGCGAGGCGACGAGGCGGTTGCCCAGCTGCAGGAGAAGATTGCCAACCTGGAGCAGGAGAACGAGGCGCTGCAGGGGCACAACGACGAGCTGGAGGCGAGCCTCCGGCTCGCGCACGGCACGGCCCTCTCCCACAGAAGGCCGGCCCACCCAGCCCCCCTGAGAGCCGCCGGGGTCCATGTGCACTGCCAGACCGGCTCCGAGCACAGCGAAGAGTTCTCGTTCCAGGCGGATGTGAGCGACGTGGTCAAGAAGGATCGAAGAAGAACGGATGCCAGAAACATAAACTTTTGGCGCTCCGCGCGGATTTCTTGGACCCGCGCTGGGCCCCCCCGGCGGCGCCTCTGGCGCCGCCCCTGGCGCGCTCCGCGCGCCAGGGAGGGGGGCTCCAGCGCGGAGCCGAGAGATCCGCGCGGAGCGCCAAATGTTCTGTTAATGCCCGTTTCTGTTCCTCTGAAGGAGCTGGACAAGGTGACGCAGAGCCGGGACAGCCTGGCCAAGGCCCTTCAGGCGGCCCAGGCGGACGTGAAGGCCACGGCTGCCGATCGGAGCTCGCTGGAGCAGAGGGTGCGGGACCTGGAGCAGCAGCTGGAGCGGAGGTTCAGCGCCGCCATTCCCGGCGTGCAGCTGCCTCAGGGCGCGCGGCTGCCCCAAGGTGCGAGGGGAGCCTCGCGGGCCCCGAAGGCCCAGAATCCGGACGGGAGCCCGGCGCACGTCCGCGACGCCTCGCTGGTGGTCGAGGATGAATCAGCTGCAGAGGCATCCAGCAGTTCTTCGATTTTCTTAGATCGGGGGGAGGGGGGCACTTCTCTTTGTTGAGTGTTTGAAGAATGATCGGCTTCGCAGATCCACAACGCAATGCTCTACTCGTCTTGAACTTTGTTCGTCTCCGCTGTCAGTGACATCTGTACTTCCGTTTCAAATTTGGAAGACTAGGTGTTTTTTCGGCCAGATTGATGTCGGAGCCTCGCTCGGGTCCAAGAAGTCCGCGCGGGCCTCCGAGAGTTGACTTTGGCTCAGCGTGTCGCGCCCCCAGATCTGGCCCACCGCGCTTCGGCACGACACGCTATCCACTCTCCAGTTCCCGGGCGTCCACCCTCCGAGCGTCGGAGCGACGTGCTATCCGCCTGCAGGGCACGGCGTGCCGCTGGGGCCGCCGCCGCGGCACGCTGTGCAAGAGGCCCCGGCCGTGTGCTGTTTCTTCTTTGTCCAGGCGGGGAGCCCGGTGGGCGTCCGCGACGCCTCGCCGGTGGCGGGGCGGCGGTTCGTCGAGGAGGTGGCGGAGTCGGACCTGCGCGTGCAGGAGGCGCTGGGCGTCGACCAGGCGACCTCGCCCGTGCACCGGGGGCGCCGGCTCTCGCTTGGCATCGGGGACGCTGCCGACAGCGACGCCGGGTCCCCGAAGGGGAACTTGGAGATCAGATCTGGGCCTCCCAGATGGGGTCGGAGCGGATGGGGTCGGAGGATCGCGCCGCATCGACCATGCATCGGCGATGCATCAGCGATGCGGCTGGAGGTGGGGCCCAACTGTCTCCACGCCGACGTCGCCGATGCATCGCCGATACATCGGCGATGCATTGGCGGTGCGGCGCAATCCTTCGACCCTATCTACTCGGACCCCATCTAGGAGGCCTCTATCAGAGGAAGAAAGTGGACCACACGTAAGAGTGACCCTTCGCCGGAATGGCGTCTGGTGCGGATCCAAGAGGGCCCCCCATCGCTGAATGCGATGCGATAGCAGCGGCCTGCGCGCTTGCCTTTGGCCCCCGCGCGCCCCCCAGAAGCCGCGCACTGGGTCACTCTTACGCGCAGCAGAGAAAGGTACCGATACCACCAGCTCACAATTCGCTGAAAGTTTTTCCCAGTTTTCAGAAGTTGTCGGACGTTTTTCAGGCCCAGCGTGGCTTCCATCAGCTGCGCCTCGTCGAGTGCTCCTCGGAGGCCCTCGCCGGTGCGGCTGGGTTCGCCTCGACACTCTGGTCAGAGCGCACCCCGCGAGAGGTCCGCGGGGTAGCGGTAACTCGGTCCCGTAGTCTTGGTTTCCTCAGGAGACGGCGTCGTTCACGGAGGCCAGCACGCGGCTGTGCGAGGAGCGCAGCGCGGAGGTGCAGACGGAGCCCCGCGAGACCGCGGACTTCGGCATGCAGGTGGAGGAGTGGGACCTCGCGGGCGGGGCGACGGTGCGCATCCGGGGGGACGTCTCGCACCAGGCGCAGGAGCTGCAGCTCACGCGCAAGAAGAAGTCCTTTGCAAAGGCCCTGCGCGAGGAGCCCAAGCTCGGCATCGGCGGCGGCGGCGCAGGCGGCGCAGGCGGTCGGAGTGCACACGCCGGACGTTGCCGAAGAATCGAAGATGCCGCGCAGCCAGTGGCCTTCGGCCTGCCCCGCCACCGTGCCTCCGGGCCGTCCTGGGCGCGTCTTGGAG